ATTAACTGTGAATAAATGCCGGCATTTCACTTCTAAGTAAATACTTCGGCCGTATTTAGGGCCAAAATAATTTTCGTACTCGCAAATAAGTTTTAATACTTTTGAATATTTTAGAGTCAAATTTTAATACATCAAAAATCAAATTAAATAAAATACATGCCACAACTGCAAAAAAAAAATAAATTTTTTAACCTATGATTAAAAAAAAATTCTTCTGTGTACTAACATCTATGATAGGAGAGCGCAACGATATGGAGACTTTTGCACAATGGTATACTGGCACCCGCAGCCAAGTTGAACTTTTATGATTGGAGGAATAATATTAAGTGATCTGAAAAACAGTGTTGGTAGATTGTATCAGTTTTATTATCATTATCACAGGAACTCAGACTAGGTAATTGAATATATATTTCAATAACATGCAGTGTAACTACATGTCATATGTTATGTTATGTGGTATGCGTATCTACTGTGTCAAAGAATCTACAAGACTTCCCCACAAAAACATTAAATGATTTTTTGATGCTTTAAAATGATTGTTAGCCATTTGAGATTTACATTTCAACAAAATGCGTTTAAGTGGACCTCAAGAGTCTCCAAAGTAACCTCACCCAACCTATATCCGAAAAACAATGTAAATTTCATTTTATTGTTTTTTAGTGCAATTTGAGCTGTATTTTATTGTTCTTGAATGAAACATGTTTTTTATTCTCCTGTGATTTGCAATACTCATACGCACCGTTGTTTTTTCTTCTTTCTTTAAAATTTTTGAAATTAGAATATATTTTTTTCATATAAATACCACATACAACATATTTATATAATTTTTTCCTGTATATTTATAATGTTTCCATATTCTTTTAGATATGTGTAAACAGTAGAACAATTTCAAAGTTCACTTCAAATTAGGAATTGATCAATATTTTACCATAAATTGCACACAGAAAAAGTTTAACCTGAAAGTATGCAATGCTGATATGTAAAATCCGTACAAAAAAGTTTTCAAAAATTTGCAAATCTCTAAAGAGTTTTTCAAGCTTCACACCACCGAAAAGAGTTTTAAACTTCTTAGTAAGCTACCGGCACATATATGAAGTATAGAATAAAAGAATAAAGTGTTAAAATAAATTCATATTTAAGAGTTGATAATCATAAATTGCTATCATGTACAATAATTCCACTTAAGGGTTTTATTTTCACATAATTTGTGTTTTTTGAGTATTTATATTTTCTTTTAGAAATTCAAGCTTATTTAGAAAACGAAAAACATGACTCCTTCTCTCAAATTGGACAGGTTCAAACTTTTAAGCCCGCTACTTGCTGTTAATTAATTAGATACAAACCATTAAGCTACCATTAACCACTAAGGTATTCAATTATTTCAATTATTAAGGTATGAAAAAATGTGAAATATTTGTATTTCACATCTACCTATCTCTTTCTATTTAAGAAAAGCAGGTTCAAACTTTTAATCTAGCCATTTCTGTCAATAAATTATATACAAACTATTGACTTAACAAATAAGTTAACAGATATTTCTAAAGATCACTACAATATTCAATTATTTTAAAATAAAATTTTTTCTTATTGTTTTTCATATCTACTTTCTTTCTTCTTTTAAAAAAAGCTGCTCTGCTATTATAAAATTTAATCGCATAACTTGAAATTACATTTGTTTATATTCAAAAAAACATCTTAAAAATTTATTGTTTTGTCTTTCACCATAGCGGGTCAAAAATCTACTAAATATTCTGACAGTGCAATACTAAAGATTATAATTAAGCTTCTTTATTGTTCCTTTGAAGTGGCCTTAGCATCTTGAAGATTGCATTAAATAATAATAAATAAAATTTTCATACCACTAGTGCGGTATAAAACGATAGTGCATAGTTTCTTATACTTTCTTGCACACTCTTGAAGATCTCATATTTACATTCTAGTGCGAAAGTGTGTAATATCATATTTTAATGGAATTTCTTTTCTTTAATTTTGCTTTCCATATTTGTGCAACTACTTTTAGTAACTGAAATTGCCAATTCCAAACAATGCGCCAGCATACACACAAATGTGCATATCTAAAAGATACAAATAAAGCTACTTGAATGCACTCAAACACTCAGTGACTAGCGCACACTCACAGCCTCACACGAATGTTGCAAGTGTTGTCAGTGTTGGTTGCAAGAAAACGCAATGTTGAGATGAAATTACTTAAATGTGCACATTTGTGTACATTAAAGGCAACAAAAGTAGCGATTATGTGAACTACGCAAATATTGCCTTGCTACATTCATGCATACTAAAATATGGCACAATTCGCACACACACACACACACAAACATAAACAATTGAAAAGGAGTGAATAAAATGGACGTCGTTCGAGTTTCGAAATGGCGGCGCAAACACGTATTGTGCTCGCACATTGCACATTGCACACTGCACTCGACACAGCACACAACAACACACAACTGTCGTAAGCAGCTAAAAATTGCATGCTGCATAAAACTTTAACTTACACCCATTCATATTCACACATGCATACATACACACACATACACACACATTTGAAGCCTTTAGCAACTGCGTACAAACCTTAAATAGAGTTGCTTCCAAAGGTTGCGAGCGATACAAAACAGTTTTGACATTGCAGAAATTTACGACTTGGCAAATTTTGCACTTAAGCGTTTTGCAATAAAAGTGAGCAGAAATTGAATTTCTGTTTTTGCTATTGCTGCTGCGGTGATAGTCTGATAGTCCTCCGTACGAGTATCTTAGGATTCTCTGCTGCCAAAAATATGTGTGAGTGTGCACGTGCGCTCGAAACTCTATTGCACACTTTACACTTTGTTAAGCACGTGCACAAAAAATTGTAGAAAATTGGTTTTATATTGCAACTGAAATTGCTCAAAGAAGAAGAAGACTCTCAAAAAATGGTTTCGTAGGAAATTGAATTGTTACATAACTACTGATATATAGTATATAAATAACGCACACACAATATTTTATATATGAATATCTATATATAAAAACTAATATATAAATATCTATCCCACAGTTAGTGTGAGAATACCTAAAATAACTGTTATAATAACGACCACATAATTTTAATGTAGTTTAAAATCAGCTTTTCGATTTCGACTTAAAAATGAAAAGAAAAAAGTTCCTGCACTGACTAAGAGTTGTTATTATATATATCAATATTTAAAAATATTACAATAATTATAAGACATTTAAAATCATAAAATAGCAAATGAAGAGAAAAATAAGAACAGACCATAGAACAAACCAAATAGAAAACCATCACATCTTCTATTTCTTCAGTTCAATTAGGAATAGGTGTTACAGAAATAAATGCCCAATAATTTAACACATGTACACAGAAGGCATGCAACAAAGCGCTACTAACTTATGCAGTAAGTCTTCTGCAGACTACAGAAGACACCATGAAGATACAGAAGTCTTAAAGTCCTGGTTTTTTTACGGGATTACCTGCTGTGGAGACCTAATGCCACATTTTTCATTTCCACAAGCGATTCTAAAAGCCTCATTACAATTTTAGCGAATTTCGTGGGTACTAACTTAAGGTACAGGTTTGGAAACAGTTTTCTTCTTGTAAAAAGGCAGCCTTCTTTAACATCTCTGATATCCTTTTCTCGTACTATACAGCACCCATTTTTAAAATACAACTTTACATGTGGTACTCCTGTGGTACCACATTCACACCTATTCATACCACATTCGAATATTGCAAGTGAGACTTACTACCATTTATATTCTAAACAGTATTGAGTGGTTTCTATTGTATTTTAATCGCCTTTTTCGACAAACATGCCTTAGCTCAGAAAGATTCTAAGCCCTATTCCACAATTATGCCATAAAAATACAGCAGGCATCACAATTTAACTTTTAAGGTATCGCTTAGGGGAGTAAAATATGTATGGAATATATATGCCTTAGGAATGATCTTACAAAAATTGTGATAAAACAAGGAAATTCTACAGTAGATACCTAAAACAAATCAGAATAAATAGTAATATTTATTATAAATAATATTATTAACAATAAATGAGAAAAACCTAAAATACAATTGCAATAAACCAAAATGAATTTTCACTATTTATTCTATAAACCTTTTTTCTATCTCATAGAACTACCACTCAACTAAAGCATTTAAAGTATGGTTTAGCATTACAAAAAAAGTTTTTTAAACAAAAACAATATATCTCGATATGAGAATTCATTCTAATATAACAAACTACATGAAATATATATAACAAAGGAGAAATTATTGAATAAATATAGTTTGGGATATATTTTACTTCAATTATTTAAATGGGATCTAACTATCGTAATGTCATCTACTAAGCTCATTGAAAAGCGATTTAAATATTGAGAACAATCAATTGCATAGATCAGAAACAACAATGGTCAAATTATTATGTCTATCTTAGAACTGTTGGGCAGTTAAAATCTTTCGACAGCAAATAATATTTAATATTGTTTGGTAAGCAATGAGTTGTTTTAAATAGTAATCTCTATTACCAAACCTTATCGAAGCTTACAATACTGTCACATTTCTTGCAATATTTCATATTTCTTGCTTGAATTTATTTGAATATTTGCTTTGACTCCACCTTTGATTCCATACAGACTTTGACAAATCTATATATTTTAATGTGATGATTCATAATTTTATTGTTTCGTATTATATTTTTCACTAATTTTTAAATGTTCTAACATATATAACATATCAGAATATAGAAGTCTCCATAATATATTAAATCAAATTATTGGTTTAATCATATATTATTCTTCACTTCATAAATTTCTTCAAATGTGTTTTACTAGGGTAAAAATAATTTTCTAGTGAAATTAACTAAAATTAACAAATAAAATATGCCCCATTATAATAAATATTTCACGCTGTTATAAAAAATTAATAGAATATTAAATTTATTATAATAATTTCTGATTATTAATTATATTTTTTTTTTCGATTTCAGGGGTGGACCTGGCCTAAGATGGGGAGCGTGCTATTTGCAGCTGTGTTCATAGCGTTACAATTTGCCACCGGCGGCCTGGCCAACCCAGATGCAAAACGTTTATACGACGATCTCTTAAGCAATTACAATCGTTTAATTAGGCCTGTGGGCAATAATTCTGATCGTTTAACGGTCAAAATGGGTCTACGGCTGTCACAGTTAATAGATGTTGTAAGTATTGAAAAAATTGTTTCTTACAAAGAATTTTATTAGAAATAGAAAAATTAGAAATTAATTTTAAATTAAATTTAAATTTAAAATTAGTAAATGAAAAAGGGAGATTACACTGCACTGTAATTTCGAAAAGATCGAAAAGACAGTAGATTAAGTAATCCCGTAATAATTTTTTGGTTATTCGTTTGTTTTATACAATCTTTGAAGCGTTTTAGGTTGTAAGTCCCTAAAAGCATTTTGGATTGGATAGTCCTGGTAGCTTTTCCCAATAGAGGTCGCTTTCTCTTTTCTCTGCGCCGTACAAAAGAATGGATCTCTATATTCTTTGCCTAGACCGCAGAAAGATTTATTCTTGTTCATAGGAAATACCATCTACCATATAAGACCAATTTTTAGATAGCCATTTCTTAGGTTATATAAATGATGAAAACCTTAAACTATCAGCATTTTAAGTATAATTGATCTATTATTTTAGAAATAGTTCAAAAAAAAATATATAGTTCACATTTAGTTACTAATACTAACTAATAATTTAAAACAAATTTTTTTTGGAAAAATACTTTGGAAATTTTATTTTATTTTTCTGATTTTGATTCAGTGTCACATTTTATACAAGAACTAAAATTACCCATATGACATTATTTTCAATATAATTTTTTAAAAATGTATTTATGTTGTGCCTAACTTTTTTCATTTCCTTTAAGCAAAATTTTGATATTAAATTATTATACAAAAATATTAACATTATTTAGATTATCATTATTTTGAAATTTATTTTTAAAAACTATTTTAACATTCACTTCACACATTTCAAACAAACGACATATTTTTCGTTTATTGCTGTTAATAATTTTCTTTGTATTTCAACCGGTTATTATAGGGCATATATCCTATTATATTCGTTTAATAAGTTCATGAACTAGTAGTTACTATGTTATTACAATATAATTTCAATGACACAAAGAGCCTTTTGTTAACATGTAAACTCATCACTTTGCTATCACATTAAGTACTTTTCCACTCATTCACAAACGTTAATAGTTCAACTTAAATCCATCACTCAAAATCCATTATCTTAAATCTACACCAGCACTAATAAATAACAATAATTAATCAGTGAAGATAATTTGTGGATTTGTGAAAAATTCATAATTAATTAATCATAAATCTTTTCTCAATGCGTCAGTCAAACTGTTGCCAACGCCTAAAAGTAAGCAACGGAAAATGTTAAATGACTTTGTTTTGTGAATCTTAGCAAATCATAGTATTTCAATTGTTTTGTGCTATGTGCTTGTAAGCAAAAAGTAGCTACACAAAAGGCTAAAAACAAAGGGGAAAACAATGACAATAACAACAATAACAACAACCAAATAACAATAAAATGGCACAGTAACAAGAGCAGCAACAAGCAACAACAAATATTATTGTAACTTTGAAAACAATATTGTATCTTAAATAATTAATAAAGCTCTGAACTATTTTATCTGCAAGTTTCTACTCAATTTATTAGGCAGTCACCAAGTTGAATGAATGTAATGATTAAATAAATCATTACATTGTATGAAACAATAACAATAATTTTTATTAATTTGGCAAGCGTTGAAAAACAGTGTTAGTAATCATAATAAAAAAGCCGTGTTAAAAGCCTGCTGAAACAATGTATCATTTGATAACTTATTGCAATGCAATTTGTAAATATTAAATTCGAAACAATTAATTAAATTAATATCTTTTTGTATTGAAATAAATCGGATTAGAGTTCAAAAGGCAAGTGCACTAATTAAAATCAATTTTTTAACTGTAATGAAGTTGTCAGTTGGTGATTGAAGTTGCACGCTTCAAAAAGCGGAACAGGAGTTCGCATCAATCCATCAAAAACTCAGCGCCATTGAAGCGAGCGAAATATTTAATCACGAAATGCAATTTATTGCAGCATTTTTCACTTTTCCCTTAATTCAATATATAATTTTGTTGCATGTATGGCATGGCATTTGCAGTAAGAAAATTACAAAATTTCACACATAAATCAAAACATCAAACGAAACAAATTGAATTTTTTGCACAAATACTTCCTTCCTAGCTTTTTCTCTTCCGAGGAAAAAATTTTTTCACTTAATAAAGTAAAAGGATAAGCGGGAAGTATAAGTAGGAAAAGCAGTATTAAGTACAATAGCAAGGAAACTGCTTAAATCGTGTAAATTGCTTTGCAAAAAACACGCCATTACACATCGAAATTGCAAAGCATATGAGAATTGTTGTGTTGAGTGCTGGAGTGTTGGTATGCAGTTGTAAGCAACTAAGATGCTTACGTGCAATCGTCGTATAAGTGCAATACGCACAGCTTCAGCAAGCTTCTTTTTGCACCAGATTTGAAATCCCAAAAAAAGTTATACCAGTTGATTGCATTAAATCAATTTTAAGTGTTTGGTAACGTAACGTAAATTACATCAAAATATTTTGTTTCAAAACTTTATATTGTGTGCATTTCTTTACTTTTACTAACACTTCTTTTTTAAATAAACTGAATTTCGAAAATAAGTAAATAAGTAATGTAGAACTTAACATAATTAAATATTAAATTATAATTTTCAGACTCCTTCTTAAAAAGAAATTTAATTAAGCTAAATTCGATTATCACGTAATCCTGAAATTAAATGAACTCGCGTGATTTCTAATTAAATTCTTTATAATTGTTGATTAAAATTGTTTGTTAGCTTATTATATTGTTAGCTAGTTACTTTTATAAAATTTATTTAATCAAATAAAATAAATTTATATATATAAAAAAAAAAAAAAAAAAAAACGTAATCCTGAAAAATTCACTCAGTACTGGTAGGCCTTTGCTTTGGATAGGCCATGGCTTCGGATAATTTTAAACCATTTTCAAACACTAAGTAATGCGAAAAAAATATTATACGGACTGGTCTTTGGTCTTTATTTTTAGTATTCAGAAGTACGAAAGCGCAATACAAATTGCGATGAAACTGTTTTAAAAGTCTATATAAACGTATTTGAAGACTTTGCTGATCTATATTATTATTGATTTATATTTTATTTATTCAGCAGTTCAACATATTTATAAAAAAGCAGTCAACGAAAAACTCAGTATAGAAGCACATCCAAAAATGTTTAATATTTGTGTTCATGAACACAACTACAGACAATAGCTTTGGCTATTAGTTATGTAGTTTTATTATAAAATATAATCTATAAAAATATAAAATATAAAAATATAAAAATTACTTCAAGTAATCACACTTTATAATGACGTTTAGTAATATTGCCTTCATCTAATAATGCTTTTGAAGTACTTCAAGTGCTTTTTTCAAGCAAGTGCAACTAAAATCTAATCTTTTAAATTTACCATACAAATCCCATTTAAACTGTACACAATTTTATACTATTTTGTAGTAGATTTTATTAATTTTGCTTGAGGTCGCCCAACATTTCCTTATCATCAAAAAGGTATCAACAATTTTTGGCTTCCCTTTTAATTTAGAGATTTATTTCCTGTTTTGTCCGAGTAAATTTTTCACCACAGTTTCATTTTATATCTGTAAGGACTCAACCAAAAGTCATACATATGTCGTTTAGATTTTGAATAGATGCAAATTTATTAAAACTCATTCATTTCCTTTTTGTGACTTTGCTTTGATTTGCTTAAACCAAGTGACAGAAGTGCAAACATTTCTCAAAAAAGAAATAAGCAAGGAATATGAATTAAAATTCTAAAAAAAGTACCACTGCAATAGCTGTGCAAGTAGAAGGGCAAAATAAAGCATCCAAAAAAAGGACTTATCTGTAAGTTTAATTTAAAAAGTTCATTTTCACCTGAAGTTAAGGAAAAAAAAAAATTTGCGATTTTTTTTGAAATATTTTTTGTACATTTCTTTTGTCATTTCACAGTGCCTGACATTAAAATATGCACAGCAAACTAAAAACATATTTTCTACCAAAAAGTAAACAAGAAAAAAATAATAGAAAATAGTGAAAATAATAGAAAAATGTGCTATGAAATTTAAATTAAAGTTGCTTAGAATATATAAGTTTTGTCCGCAGTTGGCAGTTGAAAATTAATGTAATCCTTATACAATGTAAAACAGGATAACGTGGAACGTGGGCAAGAATGCATTTAGATATTTTCTCTTACTTCATTGTCTATTTCGGATTTTTTTATATTTGATTTTTTCTTTTCTTTTTTAATTTGAAGCAGATTTATTTGATTTTTCAGCATTGGTATAGGAGAAGCTGAAAGCTGATTTAATTTGAATGCTTAAAAATGTGTTTCATGTAACTCAAAGCTTAATGCCAGCTTAGCTGCCAAATTGAAATTTAAATGAGCTTTTAACTTGTCAGCATTTCAATTAAACGTTTGTGCCACACTACAGCACTTTTGCTAAAATATCACGTTGGGCATATTGAATTTTAATTAATTGAATACTTACACTTTAAACTTAACATACACTTTTTATAAATTTACTTTATTAAAAGTTATTTCGAATAATACCCAGAGCACGTACAGGACATTTGATGAGAAATGTGCAAAAAAAATGCAATTATAATAGGAACAGCACATAAAAGTCAGAATGCAGCAGCCGCAAACTAATGCAGCTGCCATGAATAACTCAGAAAAAAAATCTTATGGAAAAAATATAAAAGCCAAGTAAGATTTGTGCAGTGCACAGGAAAAAAGGTGTGAAACGCATTCATTCATGATTACAGTTTTTTCCAAGAATTTTCTTTGTTAAATGCGAATAAATTTTGCTACCGGTTGGAACGGAAAAAGGATATACGAAGCGGTTTTGCTGTTATTTTATCTATTTCACTCTATTTGCAACATTATCCCCACACATTTTTTCCCATTTCGCTTACTTAGACATTTTTTTTTTCATTTTTCTGGTTACTGTGTTGAATGCTATTTGTTTGTATCGCGCAAATTCATTAAAAGTGGAAAATTAATGAGTCTACTCCGCTAAGGCAAAAATTTCAACGAGAAA